TCCTGCTGATGTGGGCTTCCTAGCTGAGAAGTGAACTGAATCTTCTAGAATTCCTTCAGATAACCTACTGGTGGTGCAGCCGTTCTTAATACAGGTTGTGCTAGTTGGACAAGCTGTTGTAGTGTTAAAAGCCTTTGTGATCAATGTAGCCTATTGGTGCTCCTCAGTCTCCTGCTTTCTGTTTGAGAATTTTCTGAAAATCTATTGTAATTTTCTGCAACTTCTCTGTAATTTTTCTGATTTTAACAGAAAGCTAACACAAGTTGATTAACTGTTGTAAAAGCACAGGATGAGCAGAAGCACAGTTATTTCTTTAGTTTTTTCATTGTATTTCTGTTTAAAGCATGTGTTTAGTACAACTAAAGATTCTCAGTTTTGTACAGTTTCTAAATCTAATTTGTCTTTTTTGAGAGCTGGAAGATCATGTAAAGCAAATGTCTGCAATGTGTGCTATTCAGGCCATGGTAAAATTAGATTGTGTTTGTATTGACCAACAAACAATGTATGGAAACTAAATATGCGTTTTGGAGGAAATTAGTTTTATCCATTTTAAACCATTAATGTATTAGATATGTCAATTATAAATGGAATGACTGTTGATTTGGCCTGAAAACATCTGAGCTAATTTCCCTCAAGGAAAAAATCACTTAAGGCAAAGTATGATGATACAACTAACTAAATCCAGCCATTACATTGTGAGTGTTTAAAAAATGGATATTAGGTTGAATGTTATCTTTAGCAGATGGTGTTCTTTTCTTTAACAGGCATGTTTTTAAATAAAACTTGCTTCTTTCCTGTTACACTGTAAACAGAATTTGTCATTCTCTATTCAGTGAAATACGTATCCTGGGAATGATGCCAGTAGTAATGTCAAACAATCTTGAATTACTAATGTTGAGAAAATTTTAAATAAGTACATTCAAGTTCTAAAGAACTCTGGTTAATTTGATTTACTGTGAACCTTGTTAACAAGGGCAAAAAAAGAACTATTTTGTATCAAACCCCAGCAACAATTTTCCTCATAGATGCATTTCTGCCTGTCATTTTGGATAAGGTATTGGTAGATGAGTAATGAAACGAAATAAGGAACTGTTGTTTGAAAGTGCTTATCTGAAAAAAAAAAAAAAATTAAAATGCTGCTTAGATTTTCCACAATGTTTTCCTCTCAACATTTAGTTAATTCTGACTTTCTGGAAACTGAAGAAAGGATTATACAAATGTGGACTAGAAACAACAGAAATAAAATCTCATCCCACTAGCTTGATAATTTGAAATTCACTAAAATGTGATAAGTTAAATGAATTTGCTGGGACAGGTAACAGTGGCTAACAGGACTTGTTTTTTCACTTCAGTTTATATTAACACTTTAATTTCTACACTAAGCCATTTTTACAAAGCCGTAGTGTGTAGATGGATGAAAATCACCTTCTACTAATATTAGTTGTACCTAGAGGGAAACGTAGCACTGTCAAATCTCTGAATATTGTTGTCTATGACTAGAGTAATACTTTTCCTTCTAGAAGATATCCTAGGAAGTGGAGATGTAATAAAAATTATGTTGAGTGTATTATTTAGGAACTAAATAACCGTTTCCAAAAGACATTCAAGACTTTAGGTGGATTGGAGTTAGTTTGTCACCACTGTTATCGGATGTGTAGGATGCTGTGCTTCTGTCATGGTCCAAAATGAATTGAGCCTGATTCTGCTTCCAACCCTCAGAAAAGCTCACTAAGGTTGTGTTATGGCAGAGAATTGCAGACAGCCTGTTGTTATAACTTTAATATCATCCAGTAATTCTCTTGTTTCCTTATGCTGGTTCTCCATAGCTTTTTGTTCTTCATGAACAGGCCCATACTCTGAAGTAAGTAGTCCTGAAGCAATAAATACTTTCATTTTGTGCTACAAAATTGTCTGTTAAAGTTAGGATAAAAGAGACAGTACTTAGGACTGACATCAATAAAATACAAATATTTCTTTAACACTAGTGAACATGTATCTCTTACGAAAATCTCATATAGACTTTGGATGCAGTTAGCCAGTTAAATTTGTGTGTTATCTAAACTGTGTTGTATGGTGAATGTATGTGGCTTAAATGTGTGTTTATTAGTCTTGCATTTGTTCTTGTTTTCAAAGAACGATATAGGATCCAGAGTGATCGGTTAGAAGACCTTTGGCTGATAACAAAAGAGCTTACGCTTCGACTCGAAGAACATTTCAAGAAGCAAAACTGCAAAGATTTTGCATGTACCTTTTCTGGTTCAATTCCCCTGCAAGAATATTTTGAACTAATTGATCGACATTTTGAGGTATGTTACATAATATACAAATTGTTAATGTTCTGCTAGTTTAAAAATTGTTTGTATGTTAGTACTATATTAATCAGATTATAACTGTAGCTATCACAGGCATTTGGCTTTCAGAAAATAAAAAGTTGCATCTAAGATAGTGCTGGAAAAACATCATAATGTAGTTTTTAACATATGGAGTATGCCTTGTCTCTGAAACAGCCCTTGTGATTAGCAGAGCGCAAGTAGCTAGTGTGCAGTCTGCAAATGATACAAATTATGGTACTAGTATTTGCCTTTCTGCTCACTGCCTGTACAGAAGCCATGGGTTCTTAATTCACTAATGTCATGTTAATTGTAAAATTGTTTCTAAAACTTGTCCTTAGTTTTAGGCTGTTTTACTCTTCTGTAGTAATGAAGCCATAAGCAATTTTTTTTTCTGAATCATCCTGGTAATTATATAAAAAGTCCCTTCACATTTTAAAGAACTAACTGCCCTTCTAGAATTAGCACTGGAGGCCCAAGGAAGTTTACCAGACCAGATAGAAAATAAATGTAATTACTTTTTCCTGTTTGGTCATGCAGATGACAATGAAAAAATCTCCCAATAGTTCAGCTAGCTTGTAGAAGGTGGTAATAAAATAAAATATATGCACACCCCCCCCGCCTTTCCAGTAAAAGAAGAGAATAGCTGTTTGAAAATTTCTATTAAAATTGTGCAATGGGAAAAAGCAGCAACATATGTATGTAAGAGTGAGGAATACTATTGGATTTTCTTTCATGCTGCCAAATTTTCTGTGAGGTGGAGCCACCACCACACAGAAAGATGGAAATTGTAGTTGGGATGGGATTTTTTTTAAGGAGTCAGCCTAGATCGAGGTCTATCTCTCAAGCTCATGAGTAGTTATTCTGTTAGTCTTTCAACTAATTTGAAATTCAAAAAGTTTGGGTTTTTTTTTTTTGTGACTGGTATTGTAGAAATACCTTAAACATAGGCTTCATTAGATTGTATCCCAAGCTTAAATGCACTGAAGTTTGAAATGTAGGTGTGATTGCTGGAATGCTAATTTGGGATCTAGTTATGTTACAGCTGGCTACTGTGAAGTTTCTGAAATTTTACAGTAATTATCTGGTGTAAAAAGTATCAAATGATCTATCAAGGGGATCCTAATGCTCCCATTCTTGTTAGTTTCAACATACTCTTTTTTGGCAAGCTTGGGAGAATATTACCTGAGATGTCCCTTTTTTCCTCCTACTTCTAAAAAAGCTGCATAGTGTTTCTTTTTCTCTTAGCTTCCCTGAACTCCTTCGTAATCATGCACTGACAGAATGGTACATTTGCTTATTTTTAAATATAATCTGTTTTCTAAATTTAGGAAACTTAATGTTTCTGCTCATTTTTGGGGCACTTTAAAATGGGTAGGTGTCATAATGCTCACATCTGGAAAGCTGTGTGTCTTAATGTTTCTTCTGAGAACTTCTGCTAGTTACAGCATGTCAGCTGTACCGAGTAGTCCCAGCTTTTTGAAAGACTCACCTTCAGTTAGTGATTTTTGTGTTAGAGGCATGTACTGGAAAATGGTAAGGTGATTAAAGATAAAAGAAGAACTCATGATCTGGGCATTTGATGTATAGTGTTGTTCAAAGTTTTGTGAGCACTTCAAGAAAGTTTGTTGCTGTAGCTGATCTGTATATATAAAATTTTTCCTTTTATATATTTCACTTCAGAAAAAGACAATCATTCAAACAGTGCAGAATTTAGTACTTCTGTTCATGCTTAAGAGAATAACCACTTACTTTCTACTGCAATGAATATTAAGTCCAATACACTGTGTGTATGTGTCATAAATAGCACACCAAAGCAAGAAGCAGCCTTTCACCCTGGTGGTGAAATTTCAGTCTTGTTATTAGGGTTCCTGATGAGATATTTATGCATTTTCACAGATTATTGTGGCTGTTGACAATTAGTTTTGATTTCGGTGGCAAATGATAATTCTTGAAAATGTTAATAAACTTCACAAGGAGTGTAAAATATGAAAGTGGTATAAACAACACTGTCATATTTGAATAATACACACTCTCCCCAAAATTTTACTATCATTCTTCCATTTCATTTGGAATGTGCATACATAACATATATGTCCCTTAACATGAATTCTTGAAAACCCTTAAATTGCAGCTACGTTTGAATGCTGAAAAATTTCAGGAGCTGTTATCTGAAAGGGCTGTACAGTTTCGAGCTATTGAACGGCGACTGCTGACACGATTCAAAGATAAAACTCCTGCTCCTCTTCAACATCTGGACACCTTGCTAGAAGGAACATTCAGAGAGGTCAGTGCAGTTTGATTATGAGCCTAACCTTTCTTTACATTGTTGGTAAAACTTAGCTTAAAGCATATAAGCTATGCTTTCCTGGTTACATTTACCATCCAAGAGACCAGGAAGCAGTAATTTGTTTAACCTAATATTCCCTGTAACTTTCCAGATGATTTGCAATAGTTTTATTTAATCTGTGACCACAGAATCTTTACTCCTGGGTCACACCAGCTTGACAGCACATCATTCTTTTCTAACTGATGTCGATAGTGTAAATATTTTATAGTTCATGTGAAAATATTTTATAGTTCATAGCTTGTGTAAATATTTTATGGTACACTGTAAACTGGTGGAATGGTTTGGCTGGTGTAATATTCACAACAAAATTGTCTGAGGCTGACCATGTCCTTCTTTATGGGGATTTTATGTTCTAATCATTTCAGAATGCAATGGCTGCAGAAGAACAATGTTTTAAAAAAATTAATTCCTAAACCATCCCCATACTGGAAGTACACAAGGAATAAAACAATTTTTCTTCTTCCTGCCTCAGCTTTAGAACTGCATTGCTTTAGAGTAACCCTTGTTTCATGATGCGTCACCTTTGCTAAGAAGTTACGTGTTTTGTGCTTTTCTGTCAGAGGATCTGATTTTACTTTCTAACATGCCTTGTTAGAGAAGCTGAGTCACAATTAGATTTCTTGCTGGACAAAAGACTTACCTTTATGTGCTGATGTATATCACAACAATTAATAAGGAAAAATATTTTTCCTTACTGTTTGCTCTAAGAAAACATTTCTCTGAATTGGAGAAAACTGCCTTTCCATGTATGATTATACATGACTCAGATTTGCCTTTATTTCAATCTTTACTGTGAATGAGTTAATTATGAGATGGTTTAAGTTTCAAAGTGGGAGTTTTCTGGTTACTTTAAGAAATACTAGGTATTGTGGTAGATGGGTGGTTTGTTAACACTTTGAAATAGCATGACTAAATAAGCCCTAAAGATAAAAGTCAGTCTCTTGAGTCTGCTTTTGCTGTGTAGAACTATTGCCTTTAAACTTAAAAGCAACTGGGATGTGCGTGACTGTTTTCTGACGCAGTAGAATTGAAAGATGAGTTCTGAGAATATGACAAAAATCAGGTAGTTGAAATAGATGAATATCACAGAAGCTTATAAAATAAAAGGTCCTTCAAACCAAAATTAGATGGGTACTTTTCTTAACAATGACTGTTGTAAGCTTCTTTAATTAGAATTAGTGTGGTTGAAAGGGGAATGAGGAAAAAGATTTCTTTACAGAGAACAAATGCTTACATTTTTCCACATTTGTTAAAACTTTGTTTTAGGCAAGCTCACATTTTTCTTGATAGATTTCCTTTGTTTTCTTTTGTTTGTGTGAATCCCCTTGCAACAAAGAAATGCTGTTATTGTTAGTACAAACAAAAGTGTAGTAAAATAGAAATTACCATAGAGACCCCACTGCTGCTTATGTTGTTTTGAAAGTGAGAGCTGTGGTAGGATTTAATATTGCCTCTTTGCTACGTGGATGAAATGGAATTGATTGATGATGCATTTCCTATATTAGAAAAGACGTTGTTTTCTTTAAATCCGTATCATCTTCTGTCCTTATTTGGACAAGTACATCTAATGCAAATAGTTGAATATTAAAATATGATGCATGTGTTTTCAGTAAAGGAATAACAAGACCAGATAAATATGAACAGTGTAAAGTCTGACTCCAAAAATTCTTTTAAGCGTGTAGCCTTTTTGACATTGGAATTAATATGATTGTATTTTTGAGACTACTCTTTTCAGAAGAATTGTTCAAACAAGTTGTCTCTATTTTTGCTTTTGGAAAGTTGTCTGTTTTGAGCACCATGGTTGTGTTTAGTAGTTTTCCTAGTGCAGAAAGCATTAAATGAAGAATGATGATCCATACCCTATAGACTCTTAGTGGAATGACTCTTATTTGCTTCAGTGGAATTTGGATTGAACTCTGAATAAAGCGATGTAGAAGTTTTAGGGGCATTTGTAATAAAATAGGTGTGATAAATCCTACAACAAAATACTCTGTTAGAAAAGAAATTGATTTTTATTCTCTTACCATTGTCTGAGAATCTCATCTCCTCCCTTACATTAAATATATTTATAATGAGAAAAGAAAAATTTGCATTGTTTTATCCCCTCATTTTTCACCAAAGTAATTAATATGTACAAAGAAAGGTTTTGTTACTTTTTACATTGGGTTTCGCAGTCAGAAGGGACATGTATATGTTTTGGTTTTATAGTGTATTCAAAACCTTTTCATCTAGAACAGGAAGGAGTTTCCAGTTAGTATGAGTGTGTGATTTTATTACTCTCTTTAACCCAGAATCTCCAGGACTGGGGCTCTGAGTTACCTTCTTAATAGAATAACTGTTACAGCTTAGGATTTTCTTTAAATTGAAGCTGTAACGGTATAACCTCTCTAAATCCACAGGCATACAAAGGTGCCTCTTATTGCTTCCCTTATTTCCTTGCATCAGAACAGTTTTATACAGCAGATATATAACCTTTGTGTGAACAGCCTTTTAAATACAAATGAAAAAATGGTGAATATTCAACTCATGTAGTTTCATTGCCTAGGTGTGATATGTACCTAATTTAAACTTACTCTGTACAGTTTCTTTGCCCACCTGCAAATCGTTATGAATTGCTGAACTGATTTGAATTTTACAACTGGCATAGATTGTAAATGTTAATTTTCAGATTTTCAACTTCAAGTAACAGTTGTGTTTGTGTGATATGTAGGTAGATGTACAATGTGTGTCAAACCTATAGATGCCAAACCAGAGAAAATTAATCAAGCTGCATTTGATTCTCTGGTAAAAAGCATTTCTGTTTACGAACTAAATTTTTGTATTAGTCCTTGTACATTACCAACAAGGCAGGATGTATTTAGTGCTACAATAAAATTACTAATGGGTTTATTATAAGGAATCTTTAACGCTACTTTTCATCCTCACAGTAACAGAGAAATGTATAAGCAGGCATCAGTGTGTGCAATGATGAAAAGCTTGCTTTTGGTTTTATAGTTCTGTTTGATCTTTTCTTCTAGAATTTGTCTTTCTGAAGTAATACTATAGGTCTAAATAGATTTAAGTGAGTATTAACAACAGTTAACAAATAGTGACATCAGGTGTTCCATTTTGGAAGGAAAAGAAAAGCTGTTATATATGTAGTAGCCTTGTATATTAGAAAAAGGAAATGTTATTCTTATGGTGGTTAGGAATGATTTGTAGGAAGGTTCTAGGGGAATAATGGAAAAATCAATTTGCAATAGATGCTATTTACATGCCTATGAATTTCTTGATCTCTGGTTAAAAAAATTACCAGTGCAATTGGACATGCTGCTAGCTCTTGTTCTAAGAAAGGAATTTAATTAGATAAATTTAAAAGCAATTCAGCAGTAGCTGAGATTGCATAGATGTTTTGTAGTTTAAAGGACTTCAAATATGGAATGAGATTGCAGCAAATTTTATGGTAGCTGTTGTAAACAGCATGTACTTTGTATAATGCTCGCCTACTGGAGATGTTATTGCTTTAAAGATCATTAAATTACACTTTCATCTCTACAATGTGTTTTCTGTCATATTAAAAAAAAAAAAAAAATCATAGTTTGGCAGTAGCTGCAGGTTCTTAGCCTGGAATTATAATTTTCATGCGTTGACTCTTGACATTATTTGGGTTTCCAGGTGCAAGCTGGAATTAACAAGTGTCATAAAAATCGGATGGTTCAATTTCTTATTTCAACCCATGTGGATTTTTATCCTAGTGAATCTAAGCAATACTAGCTGTGTCTAGTTGTAAGCTGTGTTTAAGTCTGTAACCATGTTTAGAAGACTACTGCAGTTACATTCTTTTAGGGAACGAGGAGGAAGGATGAATTTGAAACGTGGGGTGGGGTTCTCCTAGGGCACTAACAGTTGCTTAACCAATTTTAAGTACTTAAAACATGAATCTGAGACAAGATTGAACAGTTCAAGTTTACAAAAAAATGTAATGATAAAGCCATTGCGTCTACCTTGCATTGTATTACAATAAAAAGTAGCAAAATTAAGACAAATCATGAAACAATTAGATTTGTCCTATATCCCCACACTTTCACCCTATGTAGTAAGCATCGCTCCACTCCTATTCTTTCATGCCACTATTGCACAGTGCCTCAGGTTTCCCCATGTTCTGAGACTTCTTCATCCCCAGCCTGTAAAACCCCTAACTTGCTTGTGCTTTCTAATACTGACATCTCAACTTTTACCCATGGCCCCAGCACCCTGCCGTCAGTTCCTTATTCGTGCACTGTCAGGCCAGTGCACTAGTGCTGACCAGCGGTAGCCACCTAACCAGACAAGATGGATGATGTCCCCTGTCTCAGTAGAAATACTAATAGTGTCTCTCCCCTTCTAGTCTGCTAATTTAAAAAATATGTAGAGGAACTTGATTTCTCTAACTTCATGTCACTGTAAAATTTTGTGGGGTCTTTGGAAACGACAGTTACTAGGCATGGACAGACAGAACAAGTCTGACATAAATGGTCAGCAGTTGCATAACCTTAGACATCTATGCTTAATAACTACATGTTTACAATAGTGGGTCTTTATTTTTGATTGGTGATACATTTTAGCTTTTCTTTCTTTAAGGTACTTTATAGATTTGACAGCATCTTGCCATTTGTAAGAGGACCTAACATGGTTTTCTAAACAGAAGTGCTAGAACTAATTGGTGCTGCAAGTTTATTCCGTTTATTTTCTCCTAATTCAGCTATTCTGTCACAGTAATTTTCTTTATATTATTGCTGGATAACCTGTCTCACAAATACTTGGCTGTGAGCAGCAATAAAGTGGCTTTCAACGTAATTTTCAGATCTTGCTCTGTAACCAGCTACAAGTTGTCCAGCTCTTTCTGCTTTCTTTAGTATATGGCTTGTATTTATCTTGGCTGGTCTTGGTCTTGCATCTTGTGAGTTCTGCATATGAAT